CTGAATAAACTTATACCCTCCCCCCCCCCTCCGAAATATAAAAATAAAATTCAAAGAAACGTACATTGCACGTGATATTTTTAATGGGAGAAATATTTGTTTTCCTTATGTTTGTAGTTAAGCACAAAGCTATGAAATGGGCAATCTGTGCTTTATTCACCCGCTTTCTAGGCTCATAAGCCCGCAGATTTATAGCTTTGCCACTGGGGGCAAGAGAAATATTTGTAAATTCAAGCTAATGTACAGCTCTGTAATTTAGTTATGTGGCCCGGCATGGCCAGGTGGTTAGGGCTCTCGCCTCGCAATCTGAGGGCCGCGGGTTTGAATCCCTGTCCCACCAAACATACTCGTCCTTTCAGACGTGGGGGCGTTATAATGTATCGGTCAATCCCACTATTCGTTGGTAAAAGAGTAGCCCAAGAGTTGGCGTTGGGTGGTGATGACTAGTTTTACACTGTTAAATTAGGGACGGCTAGCACAGATAGCCTTCGTGTAGCGTTGCGCGAAATTCAAAAACAAACAAACAAACAATTAATTTATGAGATTAAATATATTTATTTTGTTAAAGGAGTAGGACAAGAGGAAAAAAAAGAGCACGAAAGATAAAATAGTGTTTTGTTTGTTGATGGTAAGAAGATATAATACTGAATATACTTCAAAGTCAAATTAAATTGATCTATTAGTGACGACACCACAGTCACACACATAGGCTCATCTGCTGCTTACAGCAATATGAGATTAAGAAAAGGTCGATCTCACGTAATCTTGTCCATATCGAGAACAAACATATCGATAAACAATGTGAGAGCGTTGAAAATTATTGATTCTGTCCTCTACATTGAAACAGTTGTCTATTCTTAACACTGAAAATCGAAGCTATACACTCTAAAATTTGTGATTGTTTGATATTTGTTCCTCAAAATATATCTGTCTTTACCCATAAAGAAAGACTGACGAAGAATGACAGTTTTGGAACATAAAACTTGCCTTAATAAGAGTGCACACACAATTAAAAAAGAAAAATATTGCCAAGTAATGACAGATGAAAATCCCTTTTTGACAAAATATGTTTTACACTTTCTATTTCTCTGCGGAAAAAGTGATAGTCAGTTCTATGAAATAAGATATTGACAAAATTGATTTTTTAGTAAAAACGTATATAATTGTCAACAAGACTGTACAATCCTATAGATAGTAATTTATGATATTCATATTTCTAGATAGCTATTAATATCAAGAACTAGCAAAAGAAATATATGTGGTATTTTCTTCTTCAGCTGTAAACATGATACCAGGTTATTGTTTGTTTAAATCCTCTAAGAAAAAAATCACATTTCACGCAAAGCTACACGAGGGCTATCTGCACTAGCCGTCCCTAATCTAGAGGGAAGACAGCTAGTCATCATCACCCACCGCCAACACTTGGGCTACTCGTTTACCAACGAATAGTGGGATTGACCGTCACATTATAACGCCCTCACGGCTGAAAGGGCGAGTATGTTTGGTGGGACGGGGATTCGAACCCGCGACCCTCAGATTGCTATCTATATGTAGGAAAGTTGAATATGGAATATTGATTCATCACTCAAATAAAGCTATATTTTTTTATTTTTGTTTGTTGCTAAGCACAAAGCTACGCAATGGGATATCTGTGCTATGTCCACTACAGATATCGAAACCTGGTTTTTACCGTTATAAGCCTTCAGACTTATCGCTAAGTCACTGAGAGCGACTACACTAAAATCTGGAATTCAAAAAATGAAGCAATGCCTATATTGTAATATTTCTGTTAGTGATGCAATATAGTAAAATATCACTATTTAAATGATGTGAAAGCATTGGATTGACTACTAATAATGGAAAAAATGCCATACTTTCGCCCAGGTGAAATTCCTAATCTTTTTTAAAGTAACCTTTATATAAATTACAAAATAAAACTCTAAAAGTAATATTTACTTACCTTCCTGTTCATGGCTTGGAACTTCTGAAACTACGTTAGAT